TCACTTTTTGATCTGACATATGGGTAATTTGAGTTACGAGCTCCGTCATTGAACGAATTAAACTTGTAAGTCAAGGCCCCATTGTACAGTGTGTGTGCCAAATCTGCCTGCCACCTGAGCCTTGACTAAAACACCACTGTTTTACAGTGTCTATGGCAGAATCAGATAGCAGTGATAGAGGTCTTATGACCCACAAAGCCTAAAATATTTCTTATCTGACCCTTTACAGAAAAAGATTACCTGCCCCCTGCTCTGTAATGTCAAGCAACCTCCCCATCTCCCCTGCTGTGCTCACAGTTTGCCTCCAGACCTACCAGTGCATTACCCAAAATGCAGTGGGCCCTCAGACCATTAGCTACTTAAAAGAAAGTCAGAGGCAGGGGGAAGCATGAATGGAAAAGAGGAAATGGTCTTTTCCTAGAGAGAAAAATCAACAAGCCTTGGTGACTGGGGTTAGGTGCCAGTGAAGAGAGGAGGAATCATACAGAAGCATCACAAATGTGGCTTTGTTCCTTGGTCAAAGCCTGGGAGTCTCATCATCAAACCATAAATACAAGTTCTGCATCAGGGCTAGCTATCTCCCCACTGAGGGGTTTAAAAGAAATGTGTCAGGTGCCTTGACAAGGTCAGTCAATGCATCAATGCCTGACAGCACAGCCCACAATCATAAACTGGCTCATTATTATGGGACTAAAATATATGTTAGATATTCAAAGTTATGGCAAGCACAGATAGCATGCTTAAATCTGCCATCAACAGAGTAGCAAACATATTTAAACAAATTTATAAATTAAAAAATTTAAATGCATAGCATAATTGAGCAGCAGATAGATGGAGGAGATCCTTTAATGATTAGCAAATCTCACTCTCTGGGAGAAAACTAGGGTCCCGAATGGTTAAGCACTATGCTAAGTGGCCTAGCTGGTTAAGAGGAGGAAGCTGGAACAGAACTCAGAACTCTTGACAGGGACCCAGGGCTCTCCCCACATATCTGTGCTCACAGCAACATGAGAGTGAGGAGAAAGGTCCTGCAGACTTCAAGCACTTACAGCGAAGTGTTGACAGAGCAGGATTGCACAGGACTGAGGGAGCAAAGCAATAAAATAAGGAACTACCCAATTAGGAACTCCCATCAGGATTTCTGGCCTTTATTTAACTCAACCTCTCTGTAGCGTACTGGTTCTCAAACTTTAGGATGCATCACAACTGGTGACCTTGTTAAGTCAGATGACTCACCCTCCCCCCCCACCACCACCACCACCCTGAGTTACTGACTGTTGGCCTGGGGTAGGCCCAAGAATCTGCATTTTAACAAGTTCCCAGGTGATGTTGCTGCTGCAGGTCCAAGATCACACTTTGAGAACCACTGCTGTAGCATCTGACCATAACCCGTCCTGTGGCTTTCCTGACACCTCTCTCACATGGCCCTTTACCTTCTTCTCTGGACACTAGTTTGAGAAGTTTGTCTATGAAGAGATGGGAAGTAAGGGTAACTGGTGCAAGTTCGAGGCAGATGCAAGAGACCTGAGCCTGTTCACATTGAAGGAAAGAGCCAGCACCAGTGAGGGAGCAATAAGGGATGGGGACAGGAAAAGATGGCAGACGGAGGGGACAGGACCTATCTGGACATCAGTGATGAGCTCAGTTCTCTGGGGGTCAAACAGTGAATAATGTTTCGAGTGTACGAGGATGAGTATCTCAGAATGAAGGCTACCCACCTCAAAATTCCCATGATGATTATGCTGTTTTGCCAACAGGCCAGACACATGTCCAGATAGTTTAGTGCTTCCCCTAGAACTGCCTTCTGAGAATGTAGCACACTGAGGCTCTAAGTTGGGAAAACATCCAACTGGAACGGATAGAGACTATCACCTTCCTTTTATTAGCCCTCCCATAACACCAACCATGAAGGAGCACTAAATCCAGGTCACCGTGTTTCTGCCTCTGGGACAAGGTCCTGGGAAGGGGAAAAATCGGTATGATTCTCCCAAAGCTAAAGGCTGCGGCTGTGTACTCAGACAGACCCAGTTGGAAACCCAACTCCACCACTTCCATGATGTGTAACTTTAGATAAGCCACCTCCCAAAGCTCAAAGTTTCCCATTTTATAAACACAGCTGAGAATAAAAATTGTCTCCCAGGAGTCTGCACTGCTGGGCTGGCATATGCTACTTCACTGTCAGAGTGGCTTCCAAGCTGACTGTCACTGTTCCGACGGACCTGCTAAGGTCAGGATGTGAAGCCTGGATGTGCCTCATACTCATCACCCTCTTCCCTAGCACACAGACTAAAGCTGGCTCCAGAAACCTGGAAAAATCTAGGAGTGTTGTTACAAATTATTTTACTTACAAATAGGATTTAGAACAAACTAAGTCCTTCGTTCTTTAGCCTCTAAGTCCCTGCTGGCTGAGAAGCCTCCAGAGGCTGCCTACAGGCCTCGCTGGCCAGTGCGCCCGAGCCATGGCCTCTCTTCTAGAGATCTGTTTCATCTGCCCTATCTTTCTAGCTTAAACGTTTCCTTCTAACTTCACTTTCTATTACTCCTGCTACGACTACTAAAAACCATAGACTTCTGAGCACTTCATGTACCAGACACTTCTAAAGTACTCTACAGGGATCAATTCATTTCATCCCCACAACAACTATTTGAGGCTGGAACTGCTACACCATTTTTCGGAGAAGGAAAAACTGAGACACAGAGAGTTTAAGTAACTTACTCAGGGTCATACAGCCAATAAGACATGAAGCCCAGATTCAAACACAAGCCATGGTATTCAGAGCCCATATTCCTAACGATATACCCCCTCATACCAACGCACAACCAGATTTAATGATCCCAAGTCTGTGCAAATGCCTCCTCAGCAGTGACACCGACCTCCATCCTTGGGCCCTTATTTCACAGTATGAAATAATAACCTTCATGTCCTGTTTTTAAGAATTCTTCCTCAGCTTACCACTTCCCCTCCTTCCAGAAAGCATGAGTTGACTAGGCTCTTCAGAAGCACAATCACATCCTTGTAGTTTCTCGGTGAGAAGCAAACTTATCAGTTCTTCTTTCTCCCGTGACATCAAAACAGAGCAGCAGCCTTATCAGGCACTAACAAGCAGAAAATGGAAAGACCATGACAGGGAGACGGCATTCCTGGACACACACTACACTGGGGTCCTTCAACTGTTACACGTTGTATAGGCTTTCCATGTTGCCAATAAGCACACGACCCATGTTAGACAAAGAAATCGACAACCGAATAGGCAGTACTTGTCAAACCTAAGTAGATGCTGAGTGTGCAAAGGCTGTGATCTGGTTGGGATCTGTGAGCATCTGTCTTCGCCCTATACTACGCCTAACTGTCAAACTGCCAAGATGCAGGGTTGTCTTCTCTTTTCCTTTTTGACAGCTTTAGAAGAAAGCAAAGCATTCCTTAATGCCTGGGTTATTTTCTAGAGCTGCCATAAGCTGGGCGGCTTGAACAACAGAAACATACAGTATTGTCTCACAGTTCTGAAGGCCAGAAGTCTGAGACCAAGGGGTCAGCTGGTTGGCTCCCTCTGCAGCTGTGAGGGAGGGAGAATCGATTCCATGCCTTTCCCCATGCCTCTGGCAGCCTCAGCCTCTCCTTGTTGAGTACTAGTTTACAGTGTTCTCCCCTTGTCTTCACATCATCTTCCCTCTGTTCATGTTTCCCTATGTCTTGGGAGACAGCTATAAATTGTTTTAAAACACTGTCCCTCCCCCCCCCTCTAAAATCAATAAACATAACCTTGGGCTAGGATTAAAAAATAATAAGAAGAAAACAAGGAACCCTTTTCATTAAACACTATTTCATTAAAGAAACTGAGCAACCAAGAGAAACACTGCTCGCGATGTACAATAAGACAACCGTGCTTACTGGATACAATACATGTTTCCCAACTGGCTTACCAATTTCCTTTCCTTCCCACTCTTTGTTCCTTCCCCCTATTCTTTCTCCTTTCTCTCTTTTTATTGAATTACAGAACTACAAAATACACTTATCACTGGTCTTTTCTGATAACCTTTAAAAGCATTTACTGCCATGTGTTTGTTTTATAGCAAATGTGCCCCATGCAGTGGGGTGGGTTTCAGATGCCAGGTAGTCCTGAGTGGGTGGGCTGGCAGTGGATTTTATGGGGTTGCAATAGCACCAGGCACATTTTCCAGATCAGCCAGGCCAATTCCCCACGGAAATTTAATCCAGTACAAGTGAAAGGAACTAGAGCTGGGCTGCCTACTATTCCTTGGTGTGTGGAGCTACAGCACAGACAGCTAGTGGGAGCAGCAGGCCCCATGACCACCTGGGCTGAAGGAGTGAGGCGGTCACGTCCGAAGGGGTGGTCCTAAAGAGAGAGCATACAAAGTAGGGAAACTGCAATGCAGGCAGACCCTCAGGGATTTGTAGTGAGCTGCTCCACTTCACACGTATTCACTCCCAAGAGCACACTTCAGCAGTCCATTTTGTCAACACAAACAAAGCTCTCCTAACCCAGAAGAGGGAAATAATCTAGAAACTGCACAAGGCACTTTGGACAGAGCAGTTTCTACACAGGTTTCTTAGAGGATATCTATAATGTCTAAGTGACTTTAAATAGAAGTGTCATATTCAGCATGTGGCCTGTAGGAACAGCTTCTGTTTTAAAGCAACTGACATACGAAGCACAAATGTGAATCTAGGAATAGTAGGCAGTTGACTTTACAAACAAATAAACACTTTCCATAACAGTCTTTTACATTAAGGATTCTCAAGTGCTTTCAAGCACTGATTCCATTCTCCCAAGAGTCCTGGAAAATAACTTGGTAAAATTACATCCATAATTTCAAACATGTCCAGGCTGTTAAGAGGCAGCCAACAAGAATTTCTCATTTCTTGTAAGTATAGAGACCATGTAGCATGGAAAAAATAAAATAAAAATAAAATAAAATAAAGAATTCAGACTCTGGATCCAGATTGCCTGCCTGGACTGAACCTTAATTCTAATACTTACTAGCTATTTGACATTGGAGAAGTCGCTTGGCCAGTCTAGAAGTCGGGAATTAAGAACATCATCCACATTTTGTGATGAAACGCTTAGCTATGTTGTCACTGCCATCGCCACCATCATCATCATTTCAGGAAAGGTTAGGAGCTCAGGTTCTGGAGTCAGACCTGCTGTGAACCCAGAACTTATTTGAATTGAACCCTCACCAAATCATCTATAAAATACATAGGACATAATATCTAGCAAGAACAAATAACACAGCATCTTCAACAAATAAATAGCTAATCAGAGAGAGGGAACTTACAGTTTTGAAAACAGACATATTTACAAATAAGAGCTCTTATTTATAGTCTCATCTATTAAAAATATACAATTTTATCACACTTATGAAATAACTGGAAATGTCGATATGAAAGGTATTTGATAATATTTAAGAACAACTATTAAAATTTTGGCACAAAATATGATTATGATTTCTAATAATGAGCATTTATCTTCCAAAGCTGTGCCCTCCAATACCATAGCCACTAGCCACATATGGCTATTTAACTTTAAATTGTTTAAAATTAATTAAAAGTAAAATTTTAGTTCCTCGATCTCACTAGCCACATTCTAAGTGGTGAATAGCTACACGTGGCTATGGTTACAGATATGGACTCTTTCTGTCAATGCAGAAAATTCTGTTGGACAGCACCAGGCTGGAGACACACACCTAATGAAACATTTGCAGATGAAACAATATGATGACTGGGATTTGCTTCCAAATAAAATAGTATAGGGAGAAGTGAATGAAGGTATGAATGAGGCAAAACTGGTTTATGGTTATTGCAGAAGGAATGGGACATGAGGGTTCAGTAAACTATTCTGTCTGATGGTCAGTTTTATGAGTTAGGCTATAATCTTCAGTTATTCAAGCACTAATCTGGGTGTTGCTGTGAGGTGTTTTGTGACTTGATTAAAGTCTATAATCAGTTTACTTTAAGGAAGATGACTTATCCTAGGCAATCCAAGGAGGTCTGATTCAAGGAGTTGCACGGCCATAAGAGTGGAACTGATGTCTTCTATATGAAGAAATTCTGCCTGTGGACAGCAGTTTAGCTCACATCCAGGAGATCCCGCCAGCCCCTCCTGTCAGCCCACCCTGTGGATTTCATATTGGCTTTGCCAGCTCCCACATAACTTAATTCCTTGCAATATATATATTTAATGACACTAATGTGTCTTGAGCATTTCCAAATGTCATTAAATATGCTTTAAATATAATATTATATTCATTATGCAAATGTACTACCATGTTCTCATGAAAAATTTTACCCCCAGAGACTTGTAAACAGAACCATGGCAGGGATCTCCCACACTACAGAAATGTACAATACCATCAACACTTTATCATCTTATGTTATTTTAAACTCATAACCTAAAATACCCCAACATAAATTTTAGTTAAAAAAAAAACTTGCAAATCATCATTTCCCTGTTCCATCAGTCGGCATTACGTTTGAAAGATTTTTTTTATTGATTTTTAGAAAAGGGGGGAGGGAGAGAAACATTAATGTGAGAGTGAAACATCGATCAGCTGCCTCCTGCACGCCCCCTACCAGGCATTGAGCCCGAAACCCTGGCACGTATCCTGACTGAGAATCTAACCGGCAACCTTTCAGTGCATGGGATGATGCCCAACTAACTGAGCCACACTAGCCAGGGTTCAACATTAAGTTTTAGCCACAGAAATCCTGAGACGTCTCAGGCAACTACTTCGAATGAAAAGCTACCTGTATATGAATTTTTAAATACCCAGTGCTCTTTTCAGCTTTCTAAACATCAAGAAGGAGGATCGGAGGGTGAGTGCCCCGTATCTGTCATTTTGACAGTTAAAGTCTGAATAGCCAACTGTATATCTGACCCCAACCCCAGACCACAAAGTTGGGCATAAAACCAGTCAACCAACAGTGTCCTGAGCCACAACATGGGTAGAACCACTAAGATCTACGCACAGTTCTGTGGGGAAACACTAAGTAAACAACAAAGCAACTGAAAGCTACAAGTACCTAGTATCATCTGGCCACAAAAGGGGGCTGGCATAACCAGAAGATGGTTGGATACATACACACACACACACACCAGCATTTTCAAAGTATAATCCATTAAGGGGATCCATTAAGTCAAAACTGTGTTTATAATCATACTAAGACATTATTTGCCTGTTTCACTGTTGACATTTACACTGATGGTGGAAAAGCAATGGTGGACAAAGAGATGAGGAACACGCAAAAGAAGTCGGTTGAATTTTTAAAAGCTGAGGGACACCCTGGCAATTCCTCAAATAATGTGCATAATTCACATCGGCTTTTAGGATGCAGAATTTAGGCAAGTAATAACATTTTAATAACAGATTTTTCAGTACCCTACCAATCCCTTTCCAACAGGCATGACTTTCCAAGCATCTTGGAGCCATTACAAAGGGTTGCTGTGTTCATATCAAACATGCTCTTGGCCCTTCATGCAGCTTTTAATTATTCATTCTGTAAGTGTTTTCTCTTCTTCCCCCCTTTTGCTGCCTGACCTTTGGGCATCATTTAGAACATAACTGAATACTTGTGGAAAGAGTAGTGACAGAAAGCCTTAAACTAGCAGAAATTTAGAGAAAAGACTAAGAAGCTGAGTACCCAAAGCCCATCGTTTCAGTCTCAAATCAGAGTGGAGCACAGTAAAGGAGTAACCTCTTCCTCCCATCACCCCAGCGCTCAGAAGAGAAAACCATCCAGCCACAGGTGCCCTAACTTGAACCCTCCAACTCCCAGCTTGCTGCCAGAGGATCTTCCCCATGCCCGATCTTCACACTTCTAACACAAGCCTGAAAGGCTCCCCACTACTTTCCACATCTGCACCAATTAGGCTGGCATTTGAGGTCCTCTATTTTACGGCTCAACTTATCCTTCCATGTTTATCTCCCAATGTGCCCGTATATCCATCAAACTGAATACTCAACATAAGCCAACACATGTCACTCCCTCCAACTGACTGGCCCATCCTCACTCTAGTCTCTGCCTGTTAAAATCCTTATCCCTCCCTTCAAGGTCCTCTTCAAGTTATCTATCAGGTTTCATGAAACCTTTGTCCACTTATCACATTGTGCCTGTATTAGAATTAAATGGTATACATATATTCTTTTCCTATTCACTTATAATTGCTGTAAAAGCCATGCCTTTCATATTTTATTTATTTCTGTTTGTATATCTGTAAGAACAGAGTGCTCATACTTGCTACATAAATTAATCATTTCAAGATATCAGTAATAATGTAACCAACTCCTAATTTATGGAAAACCATTTTGTTAGGAAATATGATTTAAATACAGTAGTTCTGAATGTTTCTTGGCTCCAGACAGAACCTAATACATCTGGGAAGTCCTGTGAGTCACTGCAGGGGAAGAGGGAAGTCAGCTAGAGGAGGCAGGCCTGGGGAGGGGGGCTGAGTTCTATCTGCAAAGTGAGACAGTTTGTGATGAGTGACGTGACAGTGATACTAATGAGGCACTCAGGTGTTTGTGGAGAGAAACAATGTACCTCAACAGTGAGGCCCGAACATCTATTAGGGATTCCATCTGTCCATTCAGCAGCACATGTGCAAATGGAAAACGTGTTTCAAGGGATCCCCAAACAAGTTGTTTATTCCCGGTACAGAATCACACTAGCACCTCACCCCATTCTATGATGCTCTGAAGCACAATATTCACATCAAACGCCAGGATTGACGGTGAGGATTTTTAAACGCAGAAGTTGCAAGACAAGGTCCAAATCTTCATGAATAGGTACGCTTGAGTATAATGAGAACTGTGGTGAGACAGGAGGAGCGTGCAGAGGATTCTGTGAAGTAATGAGAGCAAAGAGGAGAACCAGAGAGAGTGGTGTCATGGACCCAACATAGTAGAAAGTTTCAGGAAAGCAGGAGTGGTAACAACTTCAAATGACACTGCAGAGCACGAATCTGGCACTTAGAGGTCATTAATGATGAGAAGAGATAGTTTCATGAGACTGGCAGGTGTGGGAGTCAGACTGAAGAGAGATGAAGAATGTTGAAGTTTGTCAAAACAGGAAAAGGGAATGAGGACATCATCCTATGAGGATGCACAATCAGGGCTACAATCTCAGTAAAGTTTCTGGGGATCCAGTCTGAAACATGTTGGAATGTCCACTCCAGAGTGAAATGCAAGTTGCTGGACTCTGAACCACTTATTACTGAAAAAGAGGCACAGCACTTCATGGGCCTCTTTGCATTTTTGTTTGTTTGTTTTTTGTTAATCCTCACCCGAAGAAATATTTCCATTGATTTTCAGAGAGAATAGAATGGAGGGGGAGAGAGAGAGAAACATCAATGTGAAAGAGATGCACTGATTGGTTGTCTCCCACCCCAGCCTCGAGGTACATGTCCTTGATGGGAATCAAACCTGGGCCCCTTCAGTCCATAGGCTGATGCTCTATCCACTGAGCCAAACCGGCTAGGGTGGGCCTCTTTGCATTTTAAAGATAATACAGACCACATTTCAACATGTTCTGACTTTTTTTTACTAGGTAACCTATAAGACCACCAGTGTTGAGAACGGTCCAGAGCAAGAAATGGTTATGGAGTATGTCTGATCTGCAGCACAAACTGCTATGCTACTTGGGTCTTAGGACACAGTGGATCCAATTTGTAGAATCCACTAGAATCTAGAGAATCACAGCACAAACGTCTAGGATTCTGAAACAAAGCCATTTCCTCTTTTGCAGATAACTGTGCTTTTAAGAAATGACTCCTGACTTGTAACTAGGCTTTGGCAGAGCCGGATTAAAGGATATCCAGTGACTGTGTGAACTGATCTGCCCATAATGATATAAATGTTATCTGACCCACCAAGCCATAGGCTGGGCCTATGTAGAAGCAATCAATCATCAAAAGGTAAAGGTATACAAGAACGGGCTAAAGCAGGTCAACAAGGCACAGAAATTACACAAGCAGAGAGGCTCAAACACCTCGAACACCTGCTCCTACTTATCAGACCTATAGCTGCATGGAGAGTTCCTTGTGACCAGCTGAGTGAGAAGGAAACTTGGGCCTGGCTTAGAGATGGTGTTCATGATATCAGGCACGCAGCAAACAGCCTTACATCTCCAAAAAAGAGCATTCC